TCGCGGCGACAGTGTGCGGCTGCTAATTACAAAACTATTAAGCCACTTAGCCCCCCCCCCCCCCCCCCCTTTCCCCCCCTACGTGCCGCTTTGCGGAGTCCAGTCGGCAACCTAAGCCCCGCTGTCCCCCATGCACTTCCGGAAATAGGGTCCGATACGATTTAGTTTTAAACGTAAACATTTTTGACAGAGGTCTGTCTGGTTAGGAAGAAATTGACAGAGTTTTTGCGGACTCTAACCAAAGTTTTATTTAAAAAACACATAAACCCGACGTTTCGGGACCCGCTCGGTCCCTTGGTCACGGGTGATTGTAGGTGGGGGCGCGGTGGGGAAGGTTGCCCAGGTGGTTGGCCTTGCTGAGGCTTAACCCAGAGGGCGCGGGGGAGGGGGCGCGGTGTGAAAGGTTTGCCCGGGCGTTTGACCTTGCTAAGGTTTACCCCAGAGGGCGCGAAGTCCAGACACGTACGCGCTCGGGAGAGTGCCCTTGGACCGGTTCACGTTCTTACTCGTTGTTTGGATAAACCAGGACTCTAGATGAAGGCGTTTCCTCCAATGTCCCTCGGTGGCCACGATCTGAGTCTCGTCGAGGGAGAAAGAGTGCCCCGTTTTTTGCTCGTGCTCTGCCAGGGCGCTGGCCTCAATATCTTTCTTTCTCACGTCGTATTTGTGTCGTCGAATACGATCCGGGAAGTTTTTCGTTTCCCCCACATAAGCGACCGGGCAATCCGCGCACGGCACGAGGTACACGAGGCCTTGAGCCCTTTCCCTTCCTGGTCTGTCTTTGGGGAGAGGAAGCTGCCGACGGATGGTAGACACGGGCTTGTGGGAGACGGCGATGCCGTGTTTCCGAAGGACGCGTCCGACGGTCTCACTCACATTTTTCACATAAGGGAGACAGATCCGATTAGACGGTCTCGAGGTCGGAGTCACAGGGGGGTGGCGTAGGCGTTTGTAGATGTCGTTAATGAACCGCTTTGGGTAACCATTGTTAACTAGATCAGCTTTGATCTTCTTAAAGGGACCATGAAATGACTTTTTTACTTTTTCCAGATAACTTTTACATTAAACCGTCAATGTTCACTGAATACCGAACAGGCATCCGTTTTCGTCTCGCTTCATTAACTTCTACACAAAAAATTAATAAAATATCGACTTTTTCTTGACCGCAAAACAAGCCGTGACGTACGCTGCTTCCGGAACCGGAAGTTCTCTCGGCAGTTGGAGATGGGAGCGTTAGCGGCGACGAGTTGGGGTGTGCCGGTAGGTTTTACTGCGCCGATGTCACCGACATATTTTCTGAATCGGCGCCTCTCATCGCCGCATCGCAGCTGAGCGAAATTCAATGAGATACGTTGCGCTACAGCGACAGCATGGGACTAGTCCCATACGCCGTTATGCCTGTTGGGAAGTGCAGCGAGTCTTCCGGTGAAGACTCCAGAAGTTAACCCAACTGTCATTGTTGGTAAAAGGCGGCCAGTGTCAGTCGTTTGCAAAGCGACGTAGATGGAAACAAATTGCCGCGGCGTTTTTCGCGGTCTCGGAGATGCAGGAGCGAGCCGACGTTAAAAAAGATACGTTTGAACTACGAGTGTCAGCAAGAGCCACGTAAATACCTGTTCACACTCGGAGTGGACGCGCGCGTTTGATGGAAGTGCTGTATTCGCGCTGTTGGTAAGCGCTTCAGGACCGATCTTTTACGATTGCAACTCGATACTGACGCGACACTCGTCAAAGAAAGGTTGGACCGGTATTGCGCGTATACCTCCCACGAACTGTTACAGCTCGACAGTGACGTGCAGTCTGTCAGAATAAAAATGGCATACCAATAACAAAGTGTACATACCGTGTTACGAAGGTAATCCATACAGCGTTTATTTCAGCTCTATATCACACAAAACAAGAAGAGAGAATTGACGAGGGTCCCTTTTCGACGAGTGTTCGTCAACCCTGCCTCGGAAAACAAGGGGAAGAGATTGACCTCACCTCTTAACCTAAAATTGAGGTCAGCGATCAAACTATAATACAGGAAGGGTCCACAAGGGTAGCGCGGGCATATTCCATTCAGCACGCCAGCCGGTCGTAGGCAGACAGACGGTCTTGCGACGAAGCAACGCTGCGCCGAGTCGGAGTGCCTGCTAAGCCTATATCCTGAGAGCTTCGTAGGAGCGGGATTCGCGGCTGTTGTCGCTCTTCTCGGGTGTTTGTGGATCCAGCGTTCTTGTTCGTCGTGGTCTGTTTTAAGTACATTTTTTTCTTGCTGCTTGAAGTCGGCACGCGCGAGATGAAGACGTAGAAAAATAAACGTTCAGTCAGTCAGAGTTCTGAGAGGAAGGAAACCAAAGGAAATCACCGTTCTGAACTCGGCCCTGCCCTACTGCGCACGCGCAGTGGTTGCTTCGTTTACCACACGATAGATGGCGCTTGGCTCTCAGCATTATCAAATTTGGCAGTTTTCGCCATACATCTCTAATTATGCTACAAAATGTGGATCTGAATATTATTTAACAAAACTTTTAGGAAACATTCGCCGGCTATTTATTGTTTACGATCGCGGAGCTGGTGAGGTAGGCTCTTACCCAATAGGCGACCTGGATTTGGCTGACGTGCTCCATTTCCGCGGATGCATCGTAGTGAACAGGCGAAGGAAGGAAGGCGCAAAAGAGTCCAGTTTTCTTTTAAAAGTTCTATAGCAAATAATTTTTTTTGTCTCCCTAGTTTTGTGTTTTTGTGTTTCTTTTCACACCTTTTACGACGTGCGGTGGATGAAATTCGATTTTAAAATCATTTCATGGTCCCTTTAACTTCTTCTCGTAGGGCCTCCTCCGTAGAACACACGGACAGCGCCCGTCGGAAAAGGGCGCTGACCACTGAGGCCTTGTGCGATGTGGGGTGATACGACTCGAAGTCCAGGTATCTACCGGTGTGCGTAGGTTTTCGGTATACCGCGAAGTTGAGCGCGTCAGAAGCTCTCCTGACGCTCACATCCAGAAACGGGAGCACGCCGTCCGTCTCTCGCTCCACCGTGAACTGAATCGACGGTTCAACGGAGTTCAAACACTGGCACAGGCGCTCAACCTCACTGGCTTCGACGATGCAGAAACAATCATCCACATACCGGAGGAAGGTCTTGGGCTTTGGATTAAAGCAAGAAAGAGCTTTTTGTTCGATGTACTCCATCGTGAGGTTGGCCATGGTAACGGAGATCGCAGCTCCCATGGCAGTTCCACTCGTTTGCTTGTAGAAGCGTCCATTGAACGAGAAGTATGTGCTCGAGAGACACAGCTCCAGAAGGCGGCAGATTTCGTCCACGGACAGACAGGTTCGTTCTGCTAACCCGGAATCGGCGGAAAGGGCCGTCCTGGCCACAGAAAGTGCCAGGGGCACCGGCACACTCGTGAAGAGTGACACGACGTCAAAGGAAACCAGAGATTCGTCGGCGTTCACCTTTAGTCCTTTGACGAGATCGATGAAGTGACTCGAATCTCGCAAGTATGTGTCCGTGGTGCCAGTAAGGGGGGAGATGAGCTGGTGCAGGTACGCCGAAACTGCACGTAGTGGGGAAGTAGTGAAGTCCACAATGGGGCGGAGGGGGACCTCGGGCTTGTGGATTTTTGGTAGACCGTACAAAGCGGGAGCGGACCCGTTGCGACAAATTAACCTAAGATAAAGGCTGCGTGAATCCGGGTGCTCTTTGAAAATGATAGACAGGGCCCTGTTTATGGTATTCTGGATCTTGCCGGTGGGGTCTTTTTGTAGGGGCGCGTACGCCGACGTGTTCAGCGATGTTTCGTCAACAACATTCGTTTTATTCAGTGTTAATCGTAAACGAAGAAATGTCATACTAATCACCAAATGCTTCGACAAAACAAAATGTTTGAGGAACAAAAATAAAAGAAGTACGCCCACACCATGGATAGAACCCGGGTATGATACGTATGAGGCAGCCATCTTGCAACAAAGTTACGCTGCCGCTTCGGAAACTCGCATTGTATCCGCTGCCTATTTTGACGGCGGCAGTGCCTATCTCCACGAACCCGCCTATCGGGCGTGAGCGCCGTTGCTAGGGTATGTATCGCCTGCGCGTTGAAAATATGCCCGCGCGGGTGGTGGGGCGGTGCCCTTGGTATTCCTTGGGCGCCTCCGGCCAGTGCCCTGCCCAGTGGCGGCCGTTTCAGTGGGATCAAAACACATGCCTTGCCCCCCCCCCCCGGTTGGTACGCCCATGCATGTGGGCTATAATCCTGGAAATGACTACATGGCCATCTTGCAAGAAACAATTGTCCCGTTCACTTAGAGGACTTCTAAAGTTCCCACACATTAGCATCCGGTACTCAGGAGGGCAACATTCTGACAACAGCAGCCCTCCACAGTGAGAACAAGTGAGGTCCACAAGTTTCCCACCATCAGAGGACTTTCTGCACGTGTTTGTCCGTGCCCCTTCAGAGTTGCATTTTGGAGCTCTTGGACAAGGGCAAGCCATCTATGTTGAAAGTGAGAGAAAGTACAGCTGGCAACTTCTCCACATGACACAACGCATGTTGCAACCCAGCAGCAAGTCCAAAATGGCAGTATTTCCCTGGTTACATAGTTCTGATGGGGAATTGCTCATGTGGTCTGCACGGTGTCTGTAACAACGTGCGTCCATTATTCGGTAGGTCGGGCAGGCCAACTCGACTTCTTAAAAGCTTGAGGAGAGCTCTCAGTGGCCTTCTCTTAATTCCATGATCTATGGCCCACTCTCGCAACGAGTCTTGGAACCCGGCCGGCGTGCCTGTACCTTCTTCAGCCTCGCTGCACTCTGAAGCACCCAGACCTGGCAGGCAGCCTTCAACAAACTCACCGAACAAACAGGCCTTATCGCAATCTTCCCCTTCGCGCCTGGACTCTTGGCGGCAGCGCTCGCTGGTATCCTCTCAAAGTTACGACATTATGTTCCAGAGTTTTTAGCAGGGACCGAGTCATGGTTTTTCTAATTTGATTTTTTTTTCTCTTATTGACAGGCTGACTGCTCTGGAAGGGACGCACGCCGCTTTACCGCCCAGGCCCTCGCAGCTGATCCCCTCGGAACAAAACCAGGCGTGCCCTCAGTAAGCGATGCTCTTTCGTTTTGCTTGTTGCATTGCATGCAAGAAGGCTCTGTATACTCATCTTGCTTTTGCCCTCTCCAGACTTCCCGGCCCAGAGCCGAGCCAGACGTTGCCTGTTTTTCTGCCCTTGCCAAGCCCAGTGCTCGGGTCCTCGCAAACGATCCCCTCGGAACCAAACCAGGCGTGCCCTCAGTAGGCGATGCCCTTTTGACTTGCTATAGGTGTATTGAACATGCGAGACGTCCACGGGATACTCAATTTTGATTTTTTACTACTTCCAGGCCTCCCTGCGTGGCTAAAGAGCTGAGTCAGTCGCCGCCTGTCCTCACACGTGTCCTGAGCCCAGCGCCTAGTCATGGATCAGAGTAAGACATAAATTCTGTGCATGATCTAATGTAATTGATAAACATAACAATTGAAGGAACAGGTAAACTGCATTATGAAATGTTTTTCTCAAATTTGGTGCCATCTTAGGAGTGCGCAAGGCACTGGAGACTATAAATGCTATGTTTTCCTATTTACACATGATGTTTATGTGTCCTGCTGGGAATGTGAGCTTTATTTAGAGGTAAATGATTGCCTTTGACTAAACAAGGAGCTTGGTTAGTCTCTATCTTCTTTACTTTGTCAATAATGGAGGAGATGGAGACTGCAGAATTTGCCAGAGTCCTGGTCACATTGGCAACTGAAAACCACAGTATTGACACACCACGAAGTTTCGTGCCTAAATAAGACACCCTTTGTGCATTATTGCATGTGCCTTCTTCATAGTAAGCAGCTTTCTTCTGTTAAAGCCAAACATGCTGAAAGTTCCTGCGAAACACCTTAATTATCTTTTGTTTACATTCTCTCCTGCTCCCTTGAGTGGAGCAGCTTGGAAAGCTAATCTTTGATTGTCTGGGATAGAAAAAGAAATCAAGGGATGGTATAGTCGTTTCCATAGTTTTATATTTGGGGTTCGTCAGTTGCTATTACCTTGTTGCAGGTTAAGAAAAGCATGACAAACTCATACCTGTTAAGCCCTCCACTCTTTTCATATTAGCAGAGCAAATGTTAGAGAAGAGGCGAGCCCTCTCACCTTTTCTACAGTATTTGCTAACTAAAGTAAAAAGGGCGGAGGGCTTCGTGAGTAGTAGTTTGTGCTGCTTTTCTTAACCTGCAACAGGGTGTAGACTTTTAGAGCGCAGCTCTTAGGGGCCCGTTTCCGGCTTGAGCGGCGTCGGCGTCGCCGTCGGCGTAACCGCGCGGTGCATCATGGGAAATGTCCCATAATGCACCGCGCGAGCTCCCCACCGGGGTCACGTGACCTCGTGGGGGGGCACGTGACCCCCCGAAGTCACGTGACTCCCGTGAGGTCACGTGACCCCTCCTCGAGGTCACGTGACCCCCGCCGATGTCGCGTGACCCCCGATGACGTCATCGTCACTGATGACGTCACCGGCATCCACATCGTCATCGTCATCATCACTGATGACGTCATCATCACTGATGACGTCACCGGCATCGTCATCGTCATCATCACTGATGACGTTACCGGCATCCACATTGTCATTGTCATCATCACTGATGACGTCACCGGCATCCACATCGTCATCGTCATCATCACTGATGACGTCACCGGCACCCACATCGTCATCGTCATCATCACTGATGACGTCACCGGCATCCGCATCGTCATCGTCATCATCACTGATGACGTTACCGACATCCCCATCGTCATCGTCATCATCACTGATGACGTCATCAGTGACGTCACGGATGTCGTCACCGGCATCCGCATCGTCATCGTCATCATCACTGATGACGTCATCAGCAACGTCACTGATGACGTCACCGACATTCGCATCGTCATCGTCATCATCACTGGTGAAGTCATCAGTGACGTCACTAATGACGTCATCGGTACCCGCATCGTCATCGTCACTGATGACGTCATCAGTGACGTCAGTGATGACATCATCGGCATTGGGGGCCACGTGACCCCCCAAGGTCACGTGACCCCCCCTGGTTAGTTTAACCCCCCCCAGTGCCCTTCCCTCCTCCTCCTCAACAGCTGCGCTCTAATTCGGCGTTACAGGGAGTTGTAAGCGGCTTTCACTTTTTTACTGCTAACAAACACACTCCTGTCCCCCTAAAAGACTTCTGGTTGCTCCGCTTTGGAAGGCTTTCGAGCCTAGTGACATCAAAATGTTTGGAACCATAAAGTTCTACAAAAGTCACGAAGGGGATCTAGCGAGGTCTTTCTTTTGTGCCGTAAAACAGATAACAGGGATATTAAAGAATCTCCAATAAATTTGTCACTAACCGGCCCTTTAGCTATTCAACTAGATGAGAACTGGTCATAAAATATTTGATGAATGTTGCAAGCACTGCTACGGTGGAAGTTTGTCCTCTTATTTGACTCAAAGTTTGCGGCGACATATATTGCCAACAGCACCTTATGTCGACGGTTTCGATAGAAGGGCCTCTAATTGCATTCTAACACAATTTCATTATTTTCTATTGCAAGGTGTACTTATGTATGCTGCATTGTTATTCTTGTCCAGCTCTGCCCTCTTGACAACTCCCGTAGCGGGGAGTCTGAAAAGGAAAGCCCCTGGAGACAGTAGCAGAGGCAAGCGGCGGCTGCTGACCCCAAAGACCAGGCTCATCCGGAACTTCAGGGTGAGAGTCAGCAAGCTGAAGGAAAAGCTGACTTTCAGTGCCAAGAGGACGGCAAGTAGAAGTCAAATGCTAGAACAGCTTAAGTCCTGTATGTCCGTCAATGTGTGCAACTTCGTCCTAGGCCAGGTACAGGCTATCGCTGTTCGCCCTCGTGGCATGAGGTGGACTGCAGCAGATAAAAAGCTGGCCCTTAACCTGTATTTGAAAAACCCTGCAGCATATAGAGTGTTGATGAGGTGTTTGCAGCTACCATCTAAGTCGACATTGAAGCATAGCATTCTTGGAGTCACGAAGGCTCCTGGCTTCTGTCCTGTGATCCTTCAGGCTATCAAGAATGCTGCTACCTCAATGCCTGACATGCAGAAGATGTGCGTTTTGTCATTTGATGAGATGCACATCAAAGCTCAGCTGCAGTACTCAACAACGTCAGATTCTGTGGTAGGCCTTGATAATTTTGGGACGGAGCATTCTCCTTGACCTGGGCAGAAACCGGCAACTGAAGCACTCTGCTTCATGGTTTGTAGCATAGCAGGAAAGTGGAAGCAATTGCACGGGTACTTCTTTTCCTCGTCCTCAACGCCAAGTGACGTATTGCAAACACTTGTTCAGTGCCTTGAAGCACCTTGCAGAGTGCGGTCTGAAGGTTATGGCGGTCGTCTGTGACCAGGGCCCGACAAACCAAAGGCTGTTCTCGCAGCTGGGTGTTTCACCTGACAGGCAATTCTTTGCTTTTGGTGAATCAGCTGTCGTTGCCCTTTTTGATCCACCACACCTTCTGAAGTCCACAAGGAATATATCTTTCCAAGTATGACATCAGGTTTGGTAGATCAAAAGTGGCAAAGTGGGCTGTAATCGCTTGCTTTTATGCCACGGATTCAAAAAACCAGTACAAGGTGGCACCAAGACTGACTGACCAGCATATACAGGTTAGGAACAAAATGAGAGTGAAGTATGCTGCACAGGTACTTAGGCACAGTGTAGCTGCCAGCCTCTGCATGATGCAAGCACGCATCAGTGGCATTGATGACTGTTCCGGCACAGCAGAGTTTGTGGAACACATGGACAAACTGCTTGACGCGCTGAATTCACGATTCCTAGCTCACTGGAAAGTGCTCGCACTTGCGATGACTACATCCTCCACACACGTTGACAGCTTGAGAACAAAGCTGCACTTCATCCGATCATGGGAGCTCCTCACAGTAGAAGGGAGGCATGTGCCATCGCCTCCGTGCAGACGGGGCTGGCTAGTGACCATTGCTGCTGTTTTGCAGGTCTGGGAGCAACTGCGGGCTGAGGGACTCTCCTTCTTGATGACAAATCGTCTGAACCAGGACTGTCTCGAAAACTTCTTTTCTGTCATTCGTCAGAAAGGGGGTTTCCGAGAAAGCCCTGACACAGAACAGTTCAAAGCAGCAGTAAAGGCACTCATGACTGAGAATCTGATGCGGTCGAGTCGGTTGACTAACTGTAAGGAGGACCTGGATGAAGTCCTGCTTTGTGACAGCAGTTTCCCATCGGGCAACTTGCCACCAGATGTAATTGGTGAGGAGGATGCAGACCATGATCATGTCTCTGGGCCTTCAGATACCGCACCAGAAATGGATATTTTTGAGGAGAAAGCAGCAGCCTACTTGGCAGGCTACTGTGTGAGTCGCACACTAGCTAAAGTTGGGCAATGCTCTCAGTGTATATGACTGTGCCATAGCCGTTAAGCCCGCAGCTTATGTTGCTTTATTTTAAAGAATATGATTCGACGTTGATGGCTCAAGGTCTTAAATGGCCCTGTGAAACCGTGGTTGCTGTTCTGGCACAAGGTGCAGACATTTTCGGGAAGGAAATTCATAACCTTTTGCATGAAACGGGGTCTTTACAGAACGTTTTCCAGTTTATGGGATCTGGACAGTCACTGTGGTGTGTGTTGTCCAGAGCACAAAGATGTTGTTCCTAAAAATTTCTCACATGTTCTCTTCATCATCCTAATCCGCGTAAAACTAAAAGAAATAAATTATTCCTTTAAAAAGTCCGCTTCAACGCGCCACATGCGTCATGCCCTACATCAGTAGCTGAGCTCGACTTTCCAACACTTTTACCAGCATTCTGTACGGTATTGCACATTTGTGCTCTACCAAATGACCGTAAATGGAAAGTTGCACAATATCATACTTCCTATAAGGCTGTTTCCGTCTGTGTGCCATGTATAGTTATGCCATTTTGTCTTCAGTTTTCATGCCTGTGCCACATATATATATGTGGTTGAGAACACAGCTGGACTTCATCCGGTCATGGGAGATCCTCACAGTAGAAGGGAGGCATGTGCCACCATCTCCATGCAGATGGGGCTAGGCTAGTGGCCATTGCTACTGTTTAGCAGCTCTGGGAACAGCTGCAGGCTGATTGACTTTCCTTCTTGATGACAAACCGTCTGAACCAAGACTGTCTCGAAGGCTTCTTTTCTGTCATTTGTCAGAAAGGGAGTTTTCGGGACAGCCCCGACGCAGAATAGCATCAGTAATGTGGGAAAGTAGGGTGAGGCTAACTGTGAGGAGGACTTGGATGAAGTAGTTTTTCATTGGGCAACTTGCCACCAGATGAAATCGCTGAGCAGGGTGCAGGTCATGGTCTTGTCTAGGGGCATGCGGATACTGCGCAGAATAAGTCCGCACCTTATGCTGCTTTATTTTAAAGGGGCCGTGAAATGAATTCCGAATAGCTAGCCAAAACCAGCTTTTTGGAACAAACATTTGAATATATAGCGGGCTCTCTCATACCTCCTTTCCTTGGAAAGCTCTCCGCCTTTTCACTTTGATACATCCACGGTAGCCAAGGCACGTCAATGGTACCCAAAGCACGTCAGTCGACCCCAGCTCACGCATGGGACACGAAAATTGCGTCAACCTGACGTATCCGCTTGTCAGCAATCAATCCGTCATGGCCAATGAGTGCCCTGATGGAACTTATCATCACTTGTGAATTGCAAGTTCTATGGTGTGCTTAGAAAGCACCGTAGAAGCTTGGAGTCATCGCACAGGTGCCCAAGCTAAAGAGAAAGAGTATGATATTCGATGTTGGTGGCTTGAGGTCTTAAATGGCCATGTGAAACCGTGGTTCCTTTTGTGGCACAAGGGCAGAAATTTTAGGAAAGGGAATTGATGACCACTTTCACAAATGAGGCTATAAGTTTTTCAGCTTCTTGGATCTGGACAGTCTCGGTGGGGCGTGCTTTAAGGAGCACATGTAGTGCTGATATGCTCCTCAAGCAAGCACAAAGAAATAAATTGAGTTAAGGACGCTTCATTGCAGATAAGCACTCGGAGCAGTATTGCACAAAACCAGCGAATGCCTGCAACATAAAAAAAAAGATTGCCGAACTCCTGCCATTTACGTATAGCTTTGTAATTTAGTCTTCAGTGCTTTGTTCTATGCTCCGCGACTGCTGCAACGTATCATATTTGCGTTGAGGCGGTTACAATCCCTACATCAGCTGAGCTCTGCTTTGTCTATGGTCTGTCAGCATTTTGTGCATTTAAGTCGAAAATTGCAGAATTTCGTAGTTCCTATAGTGCTGTCCCCATAGTTACTTCTTCAGTGTTTATTTGTATACATACGATTTGGTTTTCGCTGTTTTATGTCTTGTGATACGGTAAAGCGTTTTATGTATACGTATAATCTCGCTACATGAAAAAATTTTGTATCGATCCTCGTGTGCATTTTGTAACATTGCCTACATTTGTGTCCTCCATTGAATCGATTTCATACAGAGTACAAATAAACCTTTTTGTGAAAAACAAATTCCCTTCTTTAAACTGATCAGCTGTGATTGTTGTCCACTGCTGGGCGGATCACAAAAACGTGCAACGCCAGCGAACGCAAACGAACACGGAGCCCCAGAACAAAAATACCATGGGGGCCGCAATCTTTAAGAATGCAACAACAAAACCGAAAGATAAAAAGTGGTTAGTTGCCCCATCCGTCGTGAGAGGGCGCTTTTCCGAGTTTCAAAAGTTATATGAGAAACTTGTGATCTTTTTAAGTTGTTTCGTTGTTAATATAATTTAGATTGTTTGAATAATGTATCAAGGATTCGTTCTACAATGGACTTTTATTGATACAAGGTGCTTGATCATGTTGTTTAAGATTATTACAGGCTTATTCTACAGTGGGCAAACCGTGTAGGAGAAACTGTGGTCTGCACTCTGCACACGCCGAACCAATGTGCGCCGCCAAACACACGAACAAAGGCTTTGGGCTTTGGATTGGTTTCGGATCCGTGGCCACCGGATAGACAGATAGTAAAAACCACGACGCTGCCGTGGGCGGTACCATCCCCCTCTTGCGGGGGGGATAGGTACCGCCCACGGTACCGCCGACAAATATTTTACAAAAAAAATTATATAATTTTTTTTTGTAAAATTTGAAGATTCGTATTATTGTCAAAATAGTCCAAATTCATACATTTTACGAAAAATTCGGAAGGGTTGGCAGGTATGCAATACACTTCTTCCAAAACTGACGCGCCCCAGCTCCGCGAAATACCACGCAGTGCACTCTAGGAACTAGTTGGCCACTCAGTTTCGGTTTCGACTGAGCAGCTTCATCTCATGCCATCACGTCGCGACCGAACGCACTGCTTGCGTTTTTGATTATCTGACTTTTCACGAATGTACAATACACTCGTTCTCGAGCGATACAAAACGAAAACCGGGGCACTTTCCTTCGTTCCCAAAACACCGGATATTGTGTGTGCGTATGCAAACGTAGTAAGATGTGGCCAGGGATGGGCAGTATTTCAAATACACGCCCCACTGAAAAAGATTATATGAATTTATTTCTGATATGTTTATTGAACACCTTTTTCATATCAGAACTTATTTCATATCAGTTTCATATGCCGCATATCAGTTACACCAGGCTAGGTAGCGCTAGGTACTGCCCAATTCGTGTGCTACAAAAAATATCTTTATTTACTAACGCCACAATGTAGATACATTACGCTCAATGTATATGTTCAGCTGAACATATAGAACATATATGTTTAGCTGAAAATTTTTCAGTAATGCCATACCTCTGAGAGTATTTTGAACGGCTCGGAGGATGAATCTTTTAATAAAAAAGAAACGCTCATTCTGTAATTATCTGAAAGCCAGTATATCAAGCCACTCCACTGCGCTTCCTAGTCATGTGTTTGTTTTCCCGCGCGGCACGTCGTATACTGAAAAAACTCATATGAATTTATTTCTGATATGTTTATTGGACACATTCATATCAGTTGGCATATGTTGCATATCAGTTCTTATATGTCGCATATCAGTTTTTGGGTATTTTATATCAGTTTCATATATCGCATATCAGTTTTTGGATATTTCTTATCAGTTTCATATGTCGCATATCAGTTATTGGATATTTCATATAAGTTCTTATATAGATTCATGTCATTTTTTTTCAGTAGTATTTTCAGTATTCAGTTCAGTATTTGAAATACGTATTTCAAATACTTTGTGTATTTTGCATTCGTATTTAATTACAAATTGGGTAATGTATTTGACGTGTGTATTTAAATACTAAAACGTGGGTATTTCAAATACAATTGTAATTAAATACATTTTTGCAGGCGAAAATACATCCCTCAAAATTATTGTCACGACAACTTTTGTTTTTATGCATGTGGTTGTAAGATATAATCTCCATCCTTTATTCGGCCATGGGGCTTTTTTCTTTTTCTCCTCCGGCTTTATTTTAAAGGTACTGTCCAGAGCAGGCAGAAAACTACGTTCTGCAGCGAATGCAGTGTCTCTCAATGGCTTTGTGATTACGGTGCTAGTCCAGGGCAAGAATTGTGACGAAGTCGACGTTTACAGGCAGACTGGCTAAATATGTGCTTGTGACAACTTATGATGCTTTCCAGCCTGATTTCCAGCCATATTTTTTCCTGAAACATTCTAAATGCGCGGGTCGTTGAGATTTTCGTAACTGGTGCGAGTTGCAACAATAAAAAATTCTCTAGCTAGTGCTGCGCGTCTTGGGTCGTCTCGGTTTTTTGTTGGCCTATACCAAGATGTAATCGACAAAAAAAAGCTACTTGAAGCTCTGTACTTTTCTCACCTATTACGTCCAAGCTGATTGCATTTTCTTGTGATTATATTTCTATTACGTTACTAGAGCCTCGCACACTAACTCCCGAGTGTGCGATGCAAAATTAAAATGAGATACCCAGAAACCCGTTGCAGGTGCCCTGAAGTCGCTGACGCAAATTTTGAGGAATGTATTTGGAAAAGTATTTGGAGGAGACCAAATACATTTGGTTGTATTTGTGTCTTGTACTTAAACGTTTTTTTTGGAAATGTAATTAGATTTGCAATTAAATACATTTTTGACGAAGTATTTTGTATTTGTATTTCGATACATATTTGCATGCATTTTGCCCATCCCTGGACGTGGCTTAGTCACCTCACCCCACGAGTGCATTTTTGAGCTCAATGTCAGTAATTCCGTCTAGTACGAGAGAGCTACAACCGAAATTCGGTCACCTTGAGCCCTACACATATTTTGTTTGCCAAACGTCCGCTTCTTGTTACTTCATTGGGCAAAATGCAAGCCGCATCCTCACAGGAGTATCAAAGTTGAGCCCAGCGTTGGCGCATGAACTTTTAAGGAAACGCAATGAATTCGACCTCACTGCTGCACAAAAGTTACTATG